CAGCAGTTGCTGTACCTCGATGCGCTCCTGTGGGCTCAGCCGGTCTCCCAGTGTGACTTCCCCTAAATCCCCAGACAACTGCCCATCTTCCAGCAGATCTGGGAGTGGTAAGCTGTCAAACTCATCAGAATTGGGCGCACATATGGCGGTTACCTCCTCGGAGCGCTCTTGGTAGGGCTTCATCATGTTCACATGGAGCATGCGTCGCCCTCCCGTCCCTGTGCAGGGGCCAATTATATAGGTGGTGTCACATCTCTGTTCCACCACCCTATAAGGTCCCTGCCAGGCGGCCTGTAGCTTGTCATGTCGGACCGGCTTTAAAATTAGCACTTTCTGCCCGACCTGAAAGCTACGGTCCCTGGCTCCCCGGTCATACCATGTGCGCTGGCGGGTCTGTGCCGCCTGAAGGTTTTCCCTTACCGTCCTGGTTAATGCTTCCAGGCGGTCTCGGAGAGCCAACACATATGGTATGATGGGGGTGCCATCTGCGCTCCGATCTCCCTCCCAGTGCTCTCTTATAAGATCTAAGGGGCCTCTGACCCTCCTCCCAAACAGCAGTTCAAACGGGGAAAATCCCGTGGATTCCTGCGGCACCTCCCGGTAAGCGAATAGGAGATGCGGCAGGAACCGCTCCCAGTCCTTGTGGGTCTCTGCGAAGGTTCGGAGCATTTGCTTCAATGTGCCATTGAACCGTTCGCAGAGCCCATTAGTCTGGGGGTGGTAAGGGGCACTGATAATAGGCTTAATGCCACAGATCCTCCAGAGGTGTTGGGTGAATTCTGCGGTAAATTGGGTACCCTGATCCGAGATAATCTCCCTGGGTAATCCCAACCGGGAGAATATCTGCATGAGGGCATCCGCGACCGTTTCAGCATGAATGTTGGTCAGAGCCACTGCCTCTGGATATCTGGTAGCATAGTCTACTACCGTTAAAATGTACCTTTTGCCTGACGGGCTAGCTTTCTTGAGGGGACCTATCAAGTCTACCGCTATTCTGCTAAAAGGTTCCTCAATTATTGGCAAGGGGTGTAGTTTTGCCTTCCTCCGGTCTCCCCTTTTGCCTACCCTCTGGCAGGTATCGCAGGTGGTGCAATACCTGCGCACTTCCTGGCTGATCCCTGGCCAGAAGAAACTTTGGGTCAGTCGGTACCTAGTGCGGCTGACCCCTAGATGTCCGGATAGCGGAATATCGTGCGCTATCCGGAGTAGCTCTGCTCGGTACCGCTGTGGCACCACTAGCTGCCTCATCACTATTGGGTCTGACCCCTCAATCTGCTTGTCTGTCTCCCTGTACAAAAGCTGCTTGTCCCAGACAAATCTCTCCCCCTCTCCCCAGGAGGGTCTGCTGTCACCTTGTCCCTGTATACCTGCAAGGTGGGGTCAGTCACTACCTCTGCTGCAAATTCGTTAGGAGGGGCCCAGGGGACACAGTCAAGGGAAGGGGAAGGGTCTCTTACCTGAACCTCCGGAGGTGAGTGGTAGTCCTGGGTGCGGGCCTGTTGGCGGGTGACCACAGGGTGAGCTTCTCCTGTGGTGGACGTCTGGGGCTCAAAAGCAGATGTGAGCCTCCCCAGATCGTTCCCCAATAAAACCTCCGCCTGTAACTGCGGCATCAACCCCACCTCCACATGTCCTGCCCCCGCTCCCCAATGTAAATGTACCCTTGCTGTAGGTAGCCGGTACACTGCTCCCCCGGCTACCCTGACGGCCACAGTTTTACTTAGTCTCGCTTGATCCGACACCAGGTGACTCTTTACCAAGGTGATAGTAGCCCCCGAATCACGTAGTCCCTGTACTGCTTTACCTTCCAGGTATACGGTCTGCCTGTGGTGCTGTCTGTTATCCGCATTGGCCTGGACTGGATCCGCCTCGTGCAGTACTTCCCACTGTTCCACGGTTGTTATGGGAATAGCTGACCCATATGGTGTGGCCACTGTATCTTGGTAGTGATGGGCGGCGGCTGCTCTTGGTGGTGGTGGTGGGCCGGGGCGAATCCAGGTTGAACGATCCCTCAGCTGGGGACATTCCCTTTTATAATGTCCCCACTTCTGGCAGTGATGACAGGGGCCGGAAGCGGGCTGGCGAAAACGTTGCTGTGCAGCGGGTGGTGGTGGTGGTGGCAGTTGCCTGGGTGGAGCTGGGTTGTAGCTGTTTCCCCCAAATGTTTTAAAACTGGTTTTTGGGGCTGCAGGTTTCTGCTGCCTGCGTGCATCCAAGTACTCATCTGCCTTCCTGGCAGCTTCGGTAAGGGAGGTAGGGTTTCTGTCCCTCACCCATTCCTGGACATCGCTGGTTACCCCCTCATAAAATTGCTCCAGCAACACCATTTGTAACAAGTCCTCCATGGACCGAGCCTTATTGGACTGTACCCACCCCAGAGCGGCCCGATGCAACTTGCAAGCCCATTCCACATGAGAGTCCTTATCATTTCTCTTTAGGTCTCTAAACCGCCGCCGATATGCCTCTGGTGTGATTGCATATCGGGCCAGGATCACTTCTTTTACTCTGCGGTAATTCCGAATCTCCTCATCAGGTACAGTTCTATAGGCTTCAGCCGCCTTCCCTGTGAGCTTCCCTGCTAAAATAGGCACCCACTCATCTGGGCTAATACTATGCAATGCACACAGCCTTTCAAAGTCTTGGAGAAAAGCATCTATATCTTCCTCTGCTTCTATATACGTTTTAAAGGCTTGGTAAGGAATTTTTGTCTTACCCTGTGTGATGGTAGTTGTGGTAGCATTCCTCTCCAGCTGTTGTAGTGGCCTTTGACGCAGTATAAACTCCTGTACCTCTGTCATTGTCCTGGATATAATATCTGTTGTTGGATTCTCTCCATAAAAGGACAGCCTGAACTGCACTTCTCTCCGGAACTCTTCTTTTTCAGCTCCCTCTGCTGCACTCTGCTGCTCAGGGATTACCCTGTCCTCCTGCTGGTATTCAGCCATCACTTCTGCAATGAGGATTGCTTTCTTTTTGTTGCTGGCTGCAATACCTTTCGCTTCCAGGAGATCCTTTAGCGTGGATCTTTTAAGCTTGGCATAATCACTCTCCATCCGTATTCCATTAGTACTTGTTCCCTTGTGAGTCTGGATCCCACCGCTGCCACCAATGTAGCGGAGATGCAATATTCCCCAGGTTATCTCCGCTTGTAATCCAAGTGAGGCTCCGGAACAAGTAAATAATAAATCCATAGGCAAAGTTTCCAGCAGGTAAAATAACAGCAATCTCCCCACAGCAATCCCAATAACTGGACGACACACAGTTTCAGGAGCATAACTGACAAGCCTTTAATCACAGTCTCCTTATAAAGCATGCTCCCATGCAAGGGAGGGATTTACAGTAATTATTACAGTAGCTAATCCTGTCCTGGTAACCTCCCACACATCCCCTCCCCTCAGCCAGCATCATAATCCCCTTATCCAGCACACCAATTCCCCCCGTTTCTGGATGTACCCCTAAACGTAGGGGTACCCCTTTAACTCATACATCCCCTGGTAGCCCTGATCTGGGTGACCAACATATCCAAAAATCACCCAGATCGGACCAGGGGTTCGGGAAAAGTATGGAGGGAATAAAATACACGAAAACCTCTAGCTATAGAGGCTAGGGAGGGTTCGCCTGAATCCCCTCGTTCGGTATTTTCTATCTACCGAACGAGGGGCCGTTCGGTAGTTTGGAACCGAACGGACCAGGGCTGTGGAGGTCTCAGCGGTGTTCGCCTACTCAAGTGTCCGATTTTAGTTCCAGACACTCGACGGCAAAACACCGCTGTTCGGGAGTTTTAAAATGGCCGCCGCCACGTGTTCGTTTGTCGAATGGCGGCCACCCCCGAGAACAAAGGACGGCTACTTTCTAGTCAATTACCCGTTCGCAACAATGTTGCAACGGGTAATTGAGGACACACTTTACACAGGGGAGGTCTGGCTGTTCGGTAGTTTCATTCGAATAAACTAAGGGAATGAAACTACCGAACAATCAAAAGAATACAAGGCTTTGAAACACATAGAAAACTAGCAGATCACACGAATGCAATTATTTCAAGGACATTTGCAGGACAGCCCAGTGCCATCCGCTACAGTCCACTCTGCATGCACCAGTACATACACAAGCCACATATATCCCCAGTGCAAGTAAAATATACTAGCCATGTAAGGCTATTCCTCTTCCTAGTATAGATAATGGATAACCATTGGATAATCCAGACAGGTGCTTAAAATATTAATATACAAGCTTTATTAATAAGGCTTATTTGTAGCATTTTTGATAACCCTTTGTAGGTAAGTAGTGCACTGGAAAATAAAAGGTAGACATGGGGTTAAACCATAGTATTAGTGTAAAAAACAGGGATTAACTAGCGGTTAAACTATAGTTCTGTCCAACTAAAGTAGCAAACTAACAGTACCTTCATTAGCCCTTGGAAGGTAATTAGTGCACTGTAAAAGGATATCAGTGTACCCAGGTAGAGAAGGGTTTAAACCATGGTCTAAGTGTTAAGTAACAGAGATTGACTAAAGGTTAGACCATAGTACTATCCAAGTGAAGCATGAATAAACATAGATTGGATAATAGAGTACTATAGTATATTCAGCTGCAACCTAAAATATCCGCCCAACCCCCCCAAAAAAAAAGTGCAATGTGAAGGAAAGTGATATAGGAAATGGGTCGAGCATAATACAGTAAAGTGTAGTAAAGCCTCTCTCCCTGTTAAACTGACTGGATAGGTAGAGGAATAAAAGAATAAAGGGGTGAAAAATACAATAAAAAAATTAGTGAGAATGAGGCATGTCTATAAATCAGACATCCTACAGTGCATAAGTGATAAGTGCCCTAAACACACTCAAAACAAAACGCCCGACGCACGCTTCGGTGCAGTACAATGTGCACCTTCGTCAGCTGCACATTGCTGAAGGTGCACATTGTACTGCACCAAAACACGGTTTTGAAAAACATATAGTTCGACATTACAAAACTCGGGACTTCGGGTTAATGGTTGGGGTAGAGGTAGGGTTAGGGTTAGGTTTAGGGGTAGGGATAAGGGTTGGGGTAGGGTTAGGGGTAGTGTAAGGTGTAGGTTAGGAGTAGGGTTAGGAATAGAGTTAAGCCTACCCCAACCACTAACCCTAATCTTAACCCCTTACCCTACTCTAACCACTAACCCTACCCCAACTGCTAACCCTACCCCTAAACCTAACCTTACTCTAACCCTACTCCTACCCAACCACTAACCCTACCTTAACCCAACCTCTAACCCTACCCCTAACCCTACCACTACCCCAACCACTAACCCTACCTTAACCCTAACCCTACCCTGTGCTCCTAACCATACCCCAAACCCTAACCCCAACCCTCTCCTGTTTTGCCACTTCAAATTCGTCACTTCGGTAATTCCGAAATTAGGCACTTCAGACTTTCGAAAGCATTTACATTCGGATCGATACGAATTTCAATTGTCTACCTCTTTCTGACAATAATATAGCAGGAATGTGGAACTGCACTCAAACCTATTTAAAATGTATCCGGGTTCACCAGACCAGTTCCAGGAACCAAATATTGAATGAGGAAATATAGAAGAGAAGTCCAGGCACTCTCAGGATACAAAAAGGCAAATTTAGTGGGTTCAATAAATTTGCCTTTTTGTATCCTGAGAATGCCTGGACCTCTCTTCTATTTTACCTCTTTCTGACAGGCAGATATTGATATGTTTCCTGTATCTACAGGTAAGTAGTTCACTAGGCAAGATGAAGCAGTGTGAATCGTGTTTAATAAATACATCCAGAAAATAGTAGGATTCTCAGTGTAATTCTCCCCCTATTTAATAGCATGGTGTGACTGTTCTCATTCAATAGTATCTGCTTGTTCCAGTACGATCTGCCTTTGTCAAGGTTCTGATTTGATGATGCCATCCATTTGGTTTTAAATTTATATCAGCAAAGGACATTACCTTTTATTGTTGACATAATTGATCTATAATTTCTAGACCGAGGTTCTCTAATTTTTTTTTTTATCCATTACAAGATGGGTTCCTTATTTCTTACGAGAGTTTATCTTGTATAAGTCTAGTTGTGTTCCTTCTCTAGGTTTGGCTATCATGGCCTTTATTCCTATCTGGCTCTATATATCTTTAGGATATTTCAGACATTTGAATGTCAAGGGGTTGCTGACCTAGCAGCCTCTAGGATAAAGTAACTTGTCTGAACAGATTTAATGACAATATCCTATTGATTACTTGTTTGGCTTTTTTAAAGTCTTCTAAGTTTTATTCAGCTCAATAATGGTTTTTATAACTATTAGCTGTTTTTGAACTCTGACTTTCCTTCTATATATACTTCTTGGGTACTCCCCATGAGTAAATGCTGCCATGATTGATCAGGAATAAGAAAAGTTGTTTTATACTTTCCATAATTTATAAAGTTGTTTTATACTTACCCATATACTATTGGTTGTGAAGCAAGTTAAGATTGCCTGATAGGAAGGTAGAGGATCTATTTCAGTTCTATTTCTTATCCTTTCTGCTGTGATGGGAGGAGCAAACCCATGAGTAAATGCTGCCATGAATAATGATCAGAAAAAGTATGAAACAATTTTTTCCTAATTTTACAACATGACAGGAGGCTTCGTATTTTGCATAATCTCTCTTTACTAGCTCCACAGCAGCAAAGAAACACGTAGAAAAAAAGAACCAATCACAAGAGAGTAGGATGTACATGAGACATAGTGACCTAATCATTTCCTCTTTCTTTGCTGCTCCATCAAGCTGACAGGTCAGAGTATTACTCTTCTCCATTATTGTATTTCTATTGCGTCTTTGGGACTGTTTTTTTTTTTTTGTCTATATTGTTTTTACATTTTACCTTATTCTGAGTGCTTGGCCCTCTCCCCTCTTTACTTTCCCTTCTCTGGATCTTTAATAACTTTTGGGCCTTGCTGGGACTCACGGGTTATTGTTCCCCTTCCCTCCGGTTCTCTAGTTAATCCCTGCACGACCGCAGCCTCCCCACCTCCCCTGCTGCGCCATTCTTTTGAGTTTGGCGCCCCGCCCGGACTCGCGGGTCCTTGCGATCGAGCCACAGTGGCCATCTTTAATCTCGCGTCTCGCGAGTTTGAGGGCGGCCATCTTGCTACCCTTGCTACCACCGTGATTGAGGGCGGCCATCTTGCTACCCTTGCTACCACCGTGATTTTGGTGCTCATGAGTAACTTATACTGATGCTGCCAGCTTAGCCCTAGCTGCTCTCACAGCTCAGGCGGCTCTGACACAGGCGCTGGAGCCTAACGTCCCAAGTTTAAATCCAGGTACAGGTAAGTATTCTTCTGTACTATAATTTCATGTTAATGTTGTATTATGTCAATTATATTAGAGATTTAAAGGGATATTACCCATTAACTTCAGATTGACTGCACTATTCTGTGCTCTATATCAGGCCTGTGATGTATAATTACACATTAATGTTGAATTTTATTATTTATATTGGATGTTTAAAGTGATACCTCGGATTAACTGTTAGAGCATGACATGCACACTCAAGAGTTCATACCCTGTACACCTGGAGTTAACCCCTGGCTAGGTCGTTACTACATTGTCCTTCAAATTGGAGTCAGGCTATTACAGCTGCTGAACAGGATTCCCAGGAGATACGGTTTAAAGAGATATACCCCATGACCTTTAAACAACTGTTTGAGCACAGATTGGTGCTCTCTATCACGGCCGTGACCCACACTTGAATGGTCGTACCCTGTGCACCTGGGGTGAATCCCCCGCTATGTATGCGCTATTCTATGTTGCTGAAGGGAGACAGGCTATGGCAGCCTCTGTTAACTACTGGACAGAATTTTCAGCACTTCCGGCTTAATGGAATACCTCCCTTGACAGTGAATTAAATATTGGAAGACCTGATGGAGGCTCTCTATCAGGGGATGGCCAGAACTTAAGGGTTCATACCCTGTGCACCCGGGGTGAGGCCCCTACTATATTTGCGCCGCACTGTACTGCCGAGGTTGACCGCTGGACATGATTTTCAGCACTACCTGCTTAAAGGAATATCTCCCCTGCCAGTGAATGATTGTTGGAGAACTTATTTATGCTCTATATCAGGGCTGTGGCCAGCACTTACAGATTCATACCCTCAGCACCCGGGGGAAACCCCTACTATATGTGCACTGAATGGAGGCATGCTGTTGCAGCCTCGGTTAGCTGCTGGACGAGATTTCAACACTGCCTGCTTAAAGGCATATCTTCCTTGACAGTGAATTAATTGTTGGAGAACTGATTGATGCTCTCTATCAGGACTGTGGCCAGCACTTAAGGGTTCATACCCCGTTCACCTAGGGTGAGGCCCCTACTATATGTGTACTGCACTGTACTGCTGAGTGGAGGCATGCTGTTGCAACCTCTATTTATTGGGTGAGCCCCAGTTTATTTTACTTGGCCACTGTTCAGAGTACAACGCTGCAGGGGTTTCTGTGAGCAATGCCTAGTATGATGTTAGGTTGATCTGTTTGCCCTGCATCTTGAGATTGCCTACTGGATTGTGCCTTCCACAGGGGTACTCCATATTATGATAAACCTACCTGCCTATTTCTTGCTGAGGGATCCCCAGGTAATGGAAGGTGACAGTGCCTTGCACGCTACTGACCAAGTAGACACGGAAGCGACCCTGGACCATACTGGTAAATGACCGTGTAATTTACTACATCTGTCACCCACATGGCCCCTCTGGAACACCTGGAACACCACTTTAGGCAGTAGCCTCTAGACAAAGATGTCCGTAATCACTTGCAGTCAGACGACTCATGCCCTTCCCTCAGAGTGGAACAGACGACTTTGTTTGACCAGTGGTGATCGAGACCCCACAGGGTAGTCAGGGGAGGTCTCAGAAACACCTGAGACAAACTGCTGGACTCTATCGACCCTCTCAGTGGTAGAATACCAGACAATGCCTACACCATCCGGTATTGGGCTCACAATATTCGTGAATGGGCTCAAAGATGTTTTTGTTTTATCAGAAACCTCAACGTTCACCTTTCCTATGGGAAGTGCATAGCAGCACTCCTCCGTACTGACAGATGGTTGACGGATCTGGGCACCAAATCATTATGACCCCCGGCACAAGGCACACCTTTTTTTTCCTGAGGAAACTTATTACACACATGTAGGTTCCCGCTGCCCTCATCAAGTCCCAAACCTCCATGAGGAAGGTGTTATGTGGTAACCCCCCTGACGGGTGTTCTACGGGACCGGTCAACAATGGAGCTATGCTGCTAACCGCTTCAGGACATCTGACACCGGTACAATGCTATCGCTAACTCTACTTGCTGTAAGGAATGGGAGACAACCTCTGGTGCTTCAGATGATTGGACAGAGAAGGCAGAACGTGCAGATGCACGAAATACCATTTTCATCAGGTAAGCGCCCCTGGGGTACCATCGACTGTGGTTTCTACTACACCCACAGGAGATACCATCACATCTGGGCGGAAGGCATTCAAACATATTAAGAAACCTTTCGCATAGACAACTGGCTTGCAAAACTGGATAACAAGACACATCATGGCGATCCTTTTCCATCGCTCTCGGTGACATTATCTAGGTTTCCTGTGACACAATCAACATCGGCTCTTCACCTGACTCCTCAGCTCGGATCCTTGGAGGCTTCCTGAAACTACCGAAACTAGTGATGAATTATGTATGAGGAATGCTTGCAATTTTCTTTCCTGGACGATCTCCTTTGGTTCGATTCAGAGAATTCAAGACCGCGTCAACACTCATGATTCTCTGTAGTACGGCTGGAATCGTCATGTTTCATAGTGGATGATCCACTCCTTAGGATTCGTAAGCGACTATGCACCTTGCATGCGGAAGCTTCTCTCTTCAAAGGTCTCCTCTATCCTCTCCTCTATCCCCCACTGAACACCGTGACCCTACACACACTTGCACTGATCGGGGATACTGTCCTCTTCCATTCAGGCTATCTTCCCCTACGTTCAACCGGACTTCGTTCGGGAATTGGATACCAGCTTTTGGGGCTACCATGACAACCTGCGAGAGAACACCCACAAAAGTGGGTGCACAACTCAGGAATTCTCTCTTAATGTTGAATACCTAGGATTCTTCGTGCAGTACTTCACTATCCGCATACTGGCTATGGAGTACTCCATTGATGGACAGAGCATCGACAGTCTGGTATATCTATCACCAGGACATCATGAAAGGCATGTTTGATGCCTTCCTCCAGAAGCCTGAGGACGGACAATCTCACTGGGGAGACACATATCAGAGGGACCGCCAGAATGCAATGTACTTCAATTGCCACAATACACCATGGT